CCCCCCCCCCCCCCCCCAAAAGACCTCATTATTCAGCAGCTAGAGAATTCTTCATATTTTCTTCTTCATATTCTTCCTTTTCTTCGTGTTTTTTAGACAGGGCCTCATTATGTAGTCTAGGCTGGCCTCGAATTTATAGCCTGCCTCAGCCTCCCGAGTGCTGGGATTACAGGCTTGCACCACGACCTCAGGCTACCTTTGATATTGACATAATGCAAAATAAACATTCAGGAGGTATAAGGTCAGGTTTCAGGCCTCCCTTACAAAGACCCGGACCTGGTAAAGTGCTTGGCACACAGTCTAGGCCTCCGCCCACCTCACCTGGGGAAGCAGCAGGGTGCAGCGGCTGGCTTGGAGACACTCAGTGCGGTCAGCGTGCAGCTTGGGATCTCTCACCTTTCTACTTCTGTTGGTACAGGAAAAAATCAAGCTTGGAAAGCAGAGACTGTCAATGCCCCAGACTACAAAACTATAGCAAATTCTTTCCCTCTTATGGGGGCAAATAAATGGCCATAGTTTGTGGAGACGTGGGTGCTCGCGGCCATTTTCCCTGCAGTGAGTCCTAGCCAGTCTCGTGTGATGGATCGCACTCGCTGTGGAGAACACTGCGGGAAGTTAAGTCCAAATGTCTTCCACGTGTACCTTATTCTTAGGCTGTTAATTCCAAGTTTTAAAATTACAATGAAATTAAACCTCTTGGTTGGTTCTTTTTGTGATTATTACTTGAAGAAAATACTTTTATTCTAATTTAAGGTAGATACTTTTAAAAATGAACTAATCTTACACATTGCCTGATGATTCTCTATACTCATATAAACAGTCTGCTTAGCCCAAAATATTACTACATTACTTTGGAGTAGAGCTACCAGATACACACAGGCTTGACCTCACATGTGAACTCTTTATGTCCAGTTTCGGTACGTAGGAAAAGAAGGAAGAGCTAACCCAAGCAGATCAGTCCATTAGTTACCACTGCTTGGCGACAGTAATTCTTCACAAAGGAAACAGTCGCCAGAGTTCAGAAAGCAACTTCACTGTGTTCTATTCAGATGTCCAGAAAACATGTACATTACATGATCCACTTCCTTTAAGGACCAAAAGGAAAATATCATAGCTGCTGCTGACAAGAATGCACAACATAATTACTTCCCCTAGCTTAAGGATCAGAATGGGGTTTTCCTGCTGGTTTTGGACATTAGTTTTATAAAGGAGATTTGAAGATAGTTAGTTACACTGGCCAGGCTCTCAGTTAAGACTCGTTTCTGGATACTGTAGAAGACACAGCCTGTTCCCTTCTTCCTTTATTCCATGTACAGCAAGTAAATCAAAGGCTGCAGAAGGAGCTATTCAGCGTCTGAAGAGTTTGTACCAAAGGCGAGAACAACACAGACTAATGAAAGGCATTGTGTTGCCAGTGCAGATGCAGACAATGATGCAGCCATGGAGACCCGGCCACTGCGGCAGAAATGTCTAAGCCCTAAATGGGCACGAGAGGGAGCCCTGAGACAAAGCACAGAAAGCTGGGGCTGAGCAGATTACTAGTTGGCATGGGAACACACCAGCTCCTCAGATGCTCTGAAGACTGCTGGAGGGTTGATAGTATTCTTAGCCAATAAAATTCTGGCAGAGGTAGGACCTAACAAATCAGGCAGGACCTGGAACAGCCTGTTGTATTGGAAAAGGAAAAAGAGCCTGGGAAATGTCCAAGATACTCAATACCTTTTCAAGTTTCTCATTAATGCCTTGGGAATAGGAAGACAAGGTGAACTGATATGAATTGTAAGGGATATGGTGAAGTACTGCACAATTTAAAACAGACTTTTCATTTGAGACAAAAAAAACAGTCGAGATCAGTACAGATGGTCATATTCCATTTTATAGATGGGGAAACGATTCAGAAAAGTTAAATGACCTCAGTTATAAAGCCAGTGAATAGCAGAATGAAGATCTGTATTCAGCTCTACTACACTGAAACTAGAGTGCTTGATACTGCCATGCTACACTGAATTCTTTAATTTCAGTTGAAAGGCAAAGGCTGCTCTCACATCTGATCTTACCACAATGAACAGGGCAGGCCAAAGTAGGAAATGGGCATTACACATAGCAGCTCCACAGGGAAAAAAGAAATGCTAAAATTCCCAACTGAGACTGGCCTTCAGTGCATCTCTATCTATCTCAATAGACTCAATGGAGCACTCTGAATAGTAGGGTCTGAGAATACAAATTACTTAAACCCCAGTCCACTTACCCTATGATTATGAAATCTCCTTTGCTGACAGTGTCAGGTTCAATGCAGATGTTCATAAAGTCTTCTTTGCTCTAAAAAAAAAAAAAAAGACCACCATTAATGTCCATAATCCTAACGATTTAGCTAACATAGCTTATTCTCATCCCCAGCCTTGGAGGTTCATATTTTGAAGCTGAATTACATAAGGGATTTTACTTCTAGTGACTTAATCCTAAGTATATATTCTTTTCATTAAGAGCTTTAATGTAGTAAATTAACAAATTCATCTCCATTGCTTTTTATTTCCCATTACATAAGCAAAATAGAAACTCAAGTGTGGGAGGTTTTCTAATTTTGTTACTAATAGTCACTGGTGTTAAAAGTACCCAGGATTCCCCCCTTTCCCTGCAGGCCAAGCTTCCCTGCCCCTCTGGCCCAGCAATTTTCAGTCCTGACTGTAGCAGTGTCACACCAGACCACAGTACTGAATGCTTGGTGTGGTGAGCCCAGGTGTCTGTGTTCTCTAAAATGCCCTACATGCAAATTTGGTATGTAACCAGTTGAAAAGTAGCAATTCATTTATTCCTTGGTGATGTTTTTAGAACTGAACCATTTCTAACCACAGAAACTCTGGAAGACTCCAGCTACAAGGAAGTAGCTGTAAAAACAGACATGGCTTCTGTACCACTCCTCTATTCACTACCAGTCCACAGTAACAACACAAACCTCGCCTCCACCCATCAATCCTAAAACACTTCTGTGTTGGCTACTTTTGGGGGACATTCAAAATTTGTAGGCCCAGGATAACACCTGGGCTGCTGAGTGCCTAATGCCTTTGCATGAGATTCAAAGGTACCACCAAAACACTCTCTCAACTAGGAATTACAAAGTGTGCTGACATACAGTGTGAGGACTTTCCTCAGAGTTCACCTTTCATTTAGCTACTTAAAAGCGCCAGCCATGTACCATAAACTCTTTGGGGTGTTTGGGTTACATCAATGAACAAAACAAACATGAATTTCTGCCTACAGAGAACTTACATGAAAGGGATAGATAAGCCATAATAAAACAGGAAACTCCCGAGTATCCTGGAAGATGAGTACACCAGAAATATGTCAGAGCGCATTGGAAAGTGAGATCAAAGAAACAGCAAGGAGCATGAGGTGGCACCGATGACAGCGGCTATACTTTATAGATGGAGGCAGGTAAGGTGACCTCCAAGCAGAAACTTGCAGGAGATGAGGAAGTTGCAATGCTCACACACCCAGGGCAGCAGCACTCAAATACCAAGTATCACTGGAGGGCTGATTAACACTCAGATCCCAGTTTCTGTCAAATGAAAATTAAGAATACACTCAGACTCTGGCCCTGTCCTCAGAGTTCCTAGTTCAGATCTGGGGTGAAGCCCAAGAATTATTTTGGATGAGTTCCAGGTGATCTGATGCTGATCTTAGGACCACTTGTCTAGGGAACAAGCCATTTGCACCAAGAGAACAGCTGGGGCAGAGGCCTTCATGGGGGAACACACCAGACAGGCAGGGAACAAAAGAAGAAAGAAGGGTGGTTGCAGCAGGAAAACTGCCAAAGACAACAGAAGGAAGAAAGGCAGAGGGGAGACAGGTTAGGTCTATAGGGCACTGTGGACCACTAAAGAATGGCTTTTAGAATAACTGAAGCGAGCCACTAGCGGGTTCTAGGGAGGGAAATGCTCTGGTTTCATTTTAATAGGACCACCATGCCTGCTGGGCTGAGAATTAAGACAAACATACTGGCAAGTCAGTCAGTGAGCCAGGAAATAACATTAGAGGAAAAAGTGTACAAACAGCCCAGGGTTCATCAGATGCCAGGAACAATGAGACATCTGATGATGGCAAGGTGTGAGAGGGAAGGAGAATGATTTAAAGCAATGATGAGGAGGACAGCTATTGGGTCACCAGGCCTAATGTACCAGAGTAAAGGGGAAGGAAAACAGCCACCTTTTAAAAGTGCTGTGGGAAAAGCAGGGTCATGTTCAAATTAGAAGAGGAGCAGGCACATATCCGGCCCTGTAAGGACCAGAGGGGAATCATTTCAGGCTTGCAGACTCTGAGTTCTCTGCCAGCTACTCTGCTGTGGTGCTGCAAAAGTACCAAAATGAATTAGTGTACCTGTGTTCCAATAAAATTTTACTTACAGTGAAATCTGAATTTCATGTAACTTTATTATCAAATTCAAGAATGAAGCAATGAAGCTTTTCTAAATCAATTATAAGACAATGATATTGATGCCAGTTGTGGTGGTTGTAATCCCAGCACTTGGGAGGCTAACGCAAGAGGATTGCCGAAAGTTCAAGGCCAGTCTGGGCTACATAGTGAGTTCAAGACTGACCTTAACTTCGTAGCAAAACCCTGTTTCAATTAAAAAAAAAAAACCACCACCACCAACAAAAAAGAGACAATGACTCCTGTCATCACTACTTCTGTTCAATGTGTTCAATACTCCTGAGGTCCTAGCCAGTATGGTAAGACAAGACACAAGATTATAAAGGTGAGTATGTGAAAGAAGAAAACAAAACATGTACTATTTGGCATTGATGTATCAAAATCTCTAAGAAGTCCCAAAGAATGCATAGACAAGAATTAAATTACGTTGCTGATGTAGCATCAACACCAAAAATCATGTCCATCTATTACATCAGATAATTAGAAATGAAATTTTAAATTATTCATAAAACTATCAAAAGTGAAGATAACAAGGAATATATTCAGCAAAAGAATGCTATAGAGAAAACTGTAAAGCTTCATTGAGAGTGACTGAAGTGCTATGTTCTGAGTCAGTGTAGAAATGTCATTTCTCCTCAAAATGATCTGTGGATACTAGGTAATCTAGACCATTATTATCAAAGTTTTATTAGGAATTTAATATTCTGAAATATTGATGTCAAAAGAGCCAAGAATAACCAAGGGACTCTTAAAAACAGAGGAACATATATAACCATTGTAATTGAGAAGCATAGTGCAAGTATAGAAAAATAGAAGAAGGGACAAGAAACATTTACATGTACACAGACAACATGTGACCAGTTGTAGGTATTTCCTTTTTTCTTTTTCTTTGGTACCAGGAACCGAACTCGGGTCCTTGTGCTTGTGCAGCAGACGGCGAAACCACTGAGCTAAATCCCCAGCCCGGTATTTCCTTTTTAAACACAAACACTGATGCAAATAATTTTAACCTAGTTTTTCATTTAACAATATATGAGAAGCATATTGCCATATTAATAAACAGGACTATGTTTAAATAATGGTACCAAAATTTAATCAGTCCAACTATTTTATAATTTTGCAATCATAAATACAGAAAACAAAAGATGTACAAAAGATCCTTTCACATGTCACATTCCCAAAGCTTATTTTATACTCTGAATATACTATCTTTAAAGAAAAGTAAATATTTTGAGCTATTACATGGCAGCTAAATTGTCTTTGAATATTCTATTGCATTTGTTTTTATTTTTACAAAGAAGTATGGAAAAAAGAAAAAAAACGAATGTGCAGCATATGATACGGTTTTATAATTGGTACAAAGATAAAAAGCAGTCAGCGTCCTGAATGTGGCTAATCTCTAGCTGAGATCTTACATTCACTGAACTCAGTCCATGCATTGCTATTCAGTCATGAGAGAAAAGAACAATGGTAGAAGAACATGAATAAAATGCTAGAAATACATATTACCAAAGACTGAGTATAAAGGAAATGTGTAATAGAAATTTTATCTTTTTTTAAAATTCCTTTGCAACAGAATCTATTTTTTAACCTTCACACACTCATTTTCAACAATGTTTTCAGAATTCCGCTAGGTAAGAGAGTAAGGACTGCCATGCTCATTTCTATAACACAGATTCCTACACACAATAGGCCAGGGGGCACACTTATATTTTAGGGACTATATACTACCAGGCTCCACTGAGAAACGGTGTTACAATTTCCATTCCCAGGAGGAATATATTACCCAGCACATTTCCCCACCACACCAACACTGAGTGCTATCATGCTTTTTAATCTATGACTATTCAATAGTTCCTAATTTGCATTTCTTTGACACTGAACACTTTTTGTTCCCTCACCTATAAAACCCAGACAAAAGTTGTAGCTGGTAGTGTAGTTAATGAGTATTTCGTAAGTTAATCTATGTGAAATTCTTAGGACAGTACCCAGCATGTAATAAATACTGAGCAAACACCTGTTGTTTGAAATCTTAGTTTTTATGTGAATTTTCTACTTTTATCCTCTACCCATTTTTAAATATTAGTTCTTTATTTCTTACTGATTTATTCTAGGCATTGTGATGAGGAAAGCTACTATCTGTGACATCCTAGTATTTTCCCCAATCTGTGATCAAAAAGTTTAGTTTCTTAACATGAATATATCAATATGAATTTTGCCTTAGGTGTTATGCTTAGAAAGGTCTTATTCTTTGCACATTTATATTGATAATCACTTAGATTTTACTCTATTGCCAAATTTATCATTTTATTTTAATTCAACTGGAAGTATTTTAGAAGATGAAGGACTTATGTTTGCCCAATATTTTCAACATGTATTACTGTTGTATTTGGAAAACAATCCAATACTCTGCATATTATTATTGGAATCACACTTCTTACTACATTCCAATTCCATGTGCAAGTTTTCTGATCAGCTAGGATAACAATAAACTTTCATTTACATAAAAGCTGAATGTAATAATTACTCCATAGTTAAAAATGACTTTTCTATTGGCATCCTCATTAACATAAATTACTAAGGTTTGCCCTATATCAGGGTCAGTAAAGTATTTTTCTGAAAATGGCCAGATTGTAAATGTTTTAGGCTTCTGGGCAACACAGTTTGTCACCACTGCGGTGTCAGGGTAACCACAAAGATATATGAAGAACATGACTGTGTTCCAGTACAACTTTATTAATGGACACTGAATCATGAATTTTATGCAATTCTCATGTGTCACAAAATGTCATTCTTTTAACTTTCTACCATTTAATATAAGAAAAGTCAATTCTTCATTTGTAGGCTATTTGAAAACAGCTGGAAGACCAGTTTGCCAAACCCTGCTTTATCTCAAGATGTGTGTGTGTGTGTTTGTGCGTGCGTATTGTCTGTAGCAGCACTATCCAGTAGAATTTTCTGCATGGATGGAAATGATTTATATTTGTGCTTTCCAATATGGTAGCTACTAGCCACAAATGGATCTTAAGCATTTGAAATGCAACTGGTATGACTGAGAAACTGAGCTTTTAATTTTAATTCTAATTAAAACAAATAGATCCTTGAGACTAATGGCTACCATACTGGACAGTGCATGTCTATAGTTTGAACCCAAATAAAATCATATGTATAGATACAAGTTATAAGTGTGTTTCTCCTGGGGAGCTGAACCTATATATTTAATATAATCACTACATAATGAATATTTACAAAAGAAAATGTTCCACAGTGTTTTTATTCCAATGACAAATGAGAGTAGCCTACCTTTCATTTCTGAAGGCCTTTCGTGCTAAGCCCTCTGGAGAACAACTAAGCAATGAGCAGAACATCTGCTCAGGGCCCTCAAGCTTCTACACCACAAATAGTGCTGCTTCTCTTTGCTGTTCCTTCTTAATGGCACATAACAACCTCTTTCCTGGTCCTTTCCTCTCGGTGCCGACAGAATAAAACTAAATAGCGATTCTGTATAAGAACAGCAAGTGCCTTTGTCACTTTCCCCAATTCCCATGCTTTCCTAATAAGCGAGCACACTTACTGTCAGATCAGGTTGGTTGTCCCGGGTGGTGATGGACAGCTCGATGGTGGACAGCTTTACATCTTTCCAGACCTCTGGGCTCGCCTCTTGGGAGTGGGCTGTGGGAAGCCAGCAGTCACAGGTCAGCTTCTTCCACTGACACTCTATCCCCACCACTAACTGCCAGCAGCTTAGGGCAGCTTCCCAAGCTTTTTGCCAACTCTCCATCTTAGCTTTATTTTATTCATCCTTCTTAAATAGAGGGATACAGTACCAGGCTCAAAACGGGATCTCTTCGCCTAAAACTTTGCTACTAAAAGCAGCTACATAAACGTCAGCAACAGAATGATGGTGCAGAGAGGCTGCTGTGCCCACTCATGGGACATTGTCTGGGCCTTGCTCTGGTGGCATCCAGAAGGCTGAATTCAATGATCCTAGAAAGGCTTTTATCTTAGCTATGCCTCCCAAAAGTGATTCAGGGGGCTGCTGCTGCTCCTAGACTGAGGAGAGCATTCCAATAAGCAGCCGGCATGCTGCTCACCATCCTGCGGCTGTGCCCAGTACGAGGCCAGCCTGCGGAGGATTCTCCTGTACAGAGAAGGCCGAGGGGGGCTCTCCGCTGGCTCACTGGGAGGCCTCTCTGTAGGTCCCATGTAGGAGATGGAGGCTTGATGAGTCTGAGGCCACTCCTGTTAACATGGAGAGAGAAAAAAACTTTTGTCATGCACACACAATTGCTAACTCTGAGAGTTTCTCTCCGCAAAGGTCAGTATTCTACCTATTCCTGCTAGAAAGCTAATCATCTTGCATTATTGGAAGATTGGAAGAAATTCTCACTAATTCTCAATGTGGAATCCTTAAGCTTCATTGCCCTTAGGGCTCTCTCTTGAAAACCATGAACTCACTTATTTCTGCCTCCATTGCTCTAAGATACAGAGCAGAGAGGAGACCAGAATGGACAACCACTGTTCACCCTCGTCTAGGACAAGAACCATGTGAATGAGGATGGAGTCATCTGTTTCGAGAGGGTGACACAAAAATGAAGCTGAAGGAATCCAGCAGTACCACTGCCCCTCACTTCTGGAATAAGGGTCCACACAAAGCCAGAAAGGTTCAGCCAGCTCAAGGCCAAATCCAGCTTGAGGCGGCCTCTCACTTTTGCTTCCAGGCCCATTTTGCTCACAGTAGAATTTTTTGGCCTTTACTTTCTGGCATTCCAAGCCCAGTGTCATCCTGGATTGCATCAGTGTTCGATGGAATAATTAAAACCACATCCTAACCTCTCAGCCCTCTAATACACCACAGCCACCACTTCCAGAGGACATTCTGGCCTCACTGTGACCAGAATGCTTCCTTGTAAAACCTTAACATCCCACTCTCTGATTTCATCCCACGTTCTGTTGCTTTGTGCCTTGTGTTAGCATCAACGATGCACCTCCTGTTATGTTTCCATGGGGTGAATTCAAAAATAGCAACAATTCTGGTTTCTCTCCCTCTACTGCTGACACCTCCCCAGGCCAGGGGGACCAGTGCATGGGTCCAGCCCCCTTCCTCACTCCTGCTCCAACAGCAGCCTTCGAGATGCACTTGCCTCCTCTTGGCAGTTAACTTACAATAATGGTCTCTGCCCTGACTGGGCTATTTTTAGGTGGATAAATTCAACTTGAAGTATTAGGAAGTCAGACTGCAATCACATACCTAGATGGTGTCCTTCACTTCTGCTGACATTTAAAAAGCCAACATTTTCATCTCCATTTGTTTGAGTCATGCATGTTTTCATAACTTGGTTCAAATTCAGAAGAGGAAGAGAGGGGTGTTATTTTGTGGTCCCTAAAGTTCCTAGTTATGCACAGTTCTCAATCACACTAAGAACTCCTGCTAGCACTCTGTTTTCTCTCAGTGCCCAATTGATAGTTACTTAAAATCACTGTTTTCCGCATTACTGTGGCCCATTTGTGGCTTTATTTATTCTTCCATAATATGTATCCTTCAGAGCTCCAAATCTGGAGCCAGGCATGGTGGCACACATCTGCAATCCCAGGAATCTGGGAGGCTGATGCAAGAGGATCACAAGTTCGAGCTCAGCCCAGGCCATTTAGTCTTAGTGAGATCCCCAGAATTTAAAAAATTAAAAACTTTCAAAAAAATACAGATCTCAGGATGTAGTTCAGCTTAAAAGCCCTTGGTTCAATCGTCATTATCTAAAAAAAAAACAAGTCTGAATTCTAGATCAATCTTGTTCCTTGGTTTCTGTACTCCTACATCGGGGCTCAGCATTAAAGAAAAACAAAACAGCCCTGCAGAGTTTTTTTTGTACCGGGGATCGAACTCAGGTCCTTGCGCTTGCGAGGCAGGCAACGGAACCACTGAGCTAAATCCCTGGCCCGTTGCTGAGTTTTAATACAGAAAAACACACACGGATTCTTGGTCTCAGGTCCTCGATGCCACTTGATAATCCTAAGTCTCCTCACTGTCACCTTCCCCCACCTGGCTTTCAGCAGATAGCCTGTTTCACTGAGACTATCAGGTACAATGGTGATAGCATCCTCAACTCTCATAATCTTGTTTTCATCTGGACCTACCCTTTACTTCTCTCCTATCCCATGGAAAAAGGCACCTCGTACCCCTTCCGAGGATAATCCAATACTCCGGATCCACCCCCTTTCTGCTTACACATTTTTTTTTGGCACTTTATTAAATTCTTTTATTGGTACATTGTAGGTATACAACACAATTACATTTCTCATTGGGAATTGTACCTTTACATGATGCATCTTGGTTC